TGGCTGGTCCGTTCCAGCAGTGCTCACCTTGATGCTCCTGGCTGGTCCGTTCCAGCAGTGCTCACCTTGATGCTCCTGGCTGGTCCGTTCCAGCAGTGCTCACCTTGATGCTCCTGGCTGGTCCGTTCCAGCAGTGCTCACCTTGATGCTCCTGGCTGGTCCGTTCCAGCAGTGCTCACCTTGATGCTCCTGGCTGGTCCGTTCCAGCAGTGCTCACCTTGATGCTCCTGGCTGGTCCGTTCCAGCAGTGCTCACCTTGATGCTCCTGGCTGGTCCGTTCCAGCAGTGCTCGCCATCCTCAAACGCCATCACCGTGTGCTCCTCCTCAAACCGCTTGAAGTGCCTGCGCGCCCGCCCCGCCACACACACACACGGTCAGGGGGGGCCATGGAATGGAACGTAGCAGTCTTACACGTTTGGTCAGTTCCCCAACATCAGTTCCCTCTTGATTCTTTCCTACCTCCCCTCATGCCCCAACACGATTGCACCACCACCACGCAATGATGCCGTCACGCCATCATACGACAGTGCTGTCACAGTGATCATGCCGTCATGCAATGATGCCGTCACACTGACTCACCCAAGAGTCGTCTCGGAGTGCCCTTCCTTCTGCACCGCCTTCTTGTACGGGCAGATCTCATACGTGTACCTGCTCCGCCCAGCCGCCCCACGCAGGACACACGGGTGGAAAGAAGCAAGTGCATGGTTACTAGTGCATGGTTACCAGTGCGCACCAACAAACCCGTGCAGGCGGGGGATGCGGGACGGTCCCAAGCAAAAAGGAAAGTGAACCGCAAATAATGCAGGCAAAAGAGAAGACCGGCATGCAAGAGAAGCATGATAGAGAGGCTTGGCAAGGAGGCATGCAAGCGACTCCCTTAAAAGAGGGAAATCCGTTGCACACAGGGTGAACAACAGGGCATGAAGCAACCGAGGTGGGTAAGCTCGGCAAGTAACGAGAAAGTGTGTGCAGCGCTTTGGGGGGGCGAAAGGGGCCTCACTGGTTGGCGTTGAATGAGAAGCAGCGGTCAACGAGGTTGGAGAACTCCCCGTGTGGCCCTGCGAGGGGGCACATGGGGATGGGTGTACGTGAATGGGACGAGGGGGGTGTGAAGGGGATGAAAGAGCAAAGATTGGTGCTGAGGAGCAAGGAGGTTGAAGAGTGCGAGGAGTAGAGGCACGTCGTGTCCCCTCTGTTCCACTTCCTGAACCATCAGCGCCTTCGTTGCTGCCAAGTAAGAGGACGCAGAAACAGCAAAAGCAAGGAGCCTTCGTTGCTCCAAGGAGCAGAAAGCGGGGGGAGGGGGAAAAGCGTTGTGTCAGCAGTGCACAGTGCATGGAGGTGAGGTGTCAGGTTGCACAAGAAACGAAAGCACTTCCCCCCACACCTCTCACACCCGGTCACACGCGTCACAACTGACCGTAGTCGCGCTTGAGCTTGTCCCTCAGCACCTTGGCGCGGCTCCTCGCCTTCCTCAGCTGCTCCTCCACCCCCCTGTGCTCCTCCCGAGCTGCCTCCACGCCTGATATATGGTGCAGGCAAGGGCGTGCTCACCGCACGCAAGCATGCACCCATGCGTGCGCGCACACACACACACACACACACACACACACACACACACACACAGACACACACGCACACACAGACACACACGCACACACACACACACACACACGCACACACACACACACACATGCACACACACAAACATGCACGCACGCATACACTCTCGCACGCACGCACACACGCACGCACGCACACACGCACGCACGCACACATGGACGCACGCACGCACGCACACACACACACACACGCGCGCACGCACGCACGCACACACATGCATGAGGAGTAAAAGGACAGAGTCAACAGAAGGCGAGAGGATGAAGACTTGGAAGCATCAACCAACAGCACACGTGCTGCACCCTCCACGCTACTCATACACTCTACGATAAAACGATGCTTCTGTGTCGTGAGTAGAAGGCCACGTGCAAGCCATGCTGTGGCATGTGCTATGTGGCAACGCCATGATGCCGTGCTGGCAGTGCGCGAGGCAGCACTCACGAGAGGCGTTGAGGGTGAGCGGTGGCGTGGGGGTGGCGAGGGAGTAGAGGCGCGAACACACGGCCATGGGCCAGTGGAGGGTGCGAGCCAACCAGACACTGACAGGTGTCACGGCTGGATGAGAGGCACAGCGGAATGGGAGGCAAGAACGTTGAGAGAAAATGGTCAGAAAGCAGGCGCATGCACGTGAAAGCAGGCGCATGCACGTGAAAGCAGGCGCATGCACGTGAAAGCAGGCGCATGCACGTGAAAGCAGGAGAGGGAAGTGTTGGAAAGAGGCTGCTCATTATCCATCCAATAGCCCCACAATCTGGATGGATTCTCCTAGAGTTTTTGCTGATTGCACCTTATCCACCTGATCCCCTTCCCACATTGCAGCCATATTCCGTGAAGAAGCACGTGAGTGCATGTGCATGCATACTTTTCTCGAATCAGCCCTTCATCGCCCTCACGCTATCTCGTCTAGCCTACAGAATCATCTACCATCTCATTGCCTTGGTGTATCGTGTCATCTCTCACACGCCATGTCGTCTAACCCCCCGTGTCATCTCACCCGCCGTGTCATCTCACCCGCCGTGTCATCTCACCCGCCGTGTCATCTCACCTGGCGGGTCATCTGGGTTGAACTCCTCCAGCTGCTTCAACTCCTCCACACTCACCTCGCCCTCCTCCCCATCCCCCTCCTCCACTCCTCTTCCATCTACCCCTGCCCCTCCCTTGCCCTCATCCGCCTCCCCTCCCCCCGCGCCCATCCCTTGTTCCAAATCCGCTGCCTCCTCCTCCCCCTCACTCTCACCATCCCCATCCGCGTCCTCCTCATCATCCTTGCTGTAGTCCTCATCCTCGTTATCAGCATCCTCCTTGTACTCATCGTCGTCATTGCCACTGTAGTCATGGTCATCATCATGATCATGATCACCGCTCTGCACCGCATCCGGATCAGCATACCCCAAATCAGGGGGTGGCAACCCCTCGTGCACCACACCTTGCTCTGCCGCATGCCCACTGTGCTCCTCGTGCTGCTCTCCTCCCTCCCCCCCGCCAGTCCATCGGGAGGCAATCCGCCGCCCCATCTCCTCTTTAGACAGACCTGACAAATCCTCGCTTCCACCTTCCCCCTCGCCCCCTGCTGCTCCCTCCTCTCCTTGCCCCTTCTCCTCACTTCCTGTGCCCGTCACTGCACTCGCCACACCATCGACACCATCCCCAGCTGCCCCATCAACACCACCAGCCTCAGCGTCCCCACCATTCCACAGCTCCTCCGCCTCTGCTGGCACCTTCCCGTCCCAACTAACCGCACTCCCCCCACCACCACCACCATCAGCACTGCCGCCGTCACCATGAGCAGCGGCGGTCCTCACCGGGCGGGTGTGCGCCACAAGGGCGTCCCTGGCGCGCTGCTCCCTCTCCAGCCTCGCCCTCCACGCCTTCTCCCTCCCCTCCTGCCGCTCCCACTCCTCCTTGCGCGCTGCACTCTCACATGGGTGCATGCACACAGCAGACACGCACACACGCCCGCACGCAGGCACATATGCACTCACGCACGCACGCACACAGGCACACACGCACACGTGTACACATGCACGCACACTCACATGCGCACATACGCACACGATGCACACACGCATGCACATGTGCACGCAATAACACACGGAGCAACAGCGGAGAGGTGTTGTGGGGGGCTGTTGCAGATGTGTGCAGCAGTAGCATATTGACGATGAGAGTGAGTGGTATTCAATGAGGAATGAATGGGTGTGAGGGTGAATGAGTGAGTGTGTGTGAGTAGAAGACAGCAAAGAGCACAGGAGGAGGAGAAAGACTGGGACCATAACTTGAAAGACTGGGACCATAACTTGAAAGACTGGGACCATAACTTGAAAGACTGGGACCATAACTTGAAAGACTGGGACCATAACTTCAAAGACTGGGACCATAACTTGAAAGACTGGGACCATAACTTGAAAGACTGGGACCATAACTTGAAAGACTGGGACCATAACTTGAAAGACTGGGACCATAACTTGAAAGACTGGGACCATAACTTGAAAGACTGGGACCATAACTTGAAAGACTGGGACCATAACTTGAAAGACTGGGACCATAACTTGAAAGACTGGGACCATAACTTGAAAGACTGGGACCATAACTTGAAAGACTGGGACCATAACTTGAAAGACTGGGACCATAACTTGAAAGACTGGGACCATAACTTGAAAGACTGGGACCATAACTTGAAAGACTGGGACCATAACTTGAAAGACTGGGACCATAACTTGAAAGACTGGGACCATAACTTGAAAGACTGGGACCATAACTTGAAAGACTGGGACCATAACTTGAAAGACTGGGACCATAACTTGAAAGACTGGGACCATAACTTGAAAGACTGGGACCATAACTTGAAAGACTGGGACCATAACTTGAAAGACGAGGGTTGGGGTGGAGGGGAGAGCGACGAATGTGGAGGGCAGGGAAGTGGGAAGACAAAGGCAACGAGCAGGAGGAAAAGAGAGGGCATGCGAGGAGCAAAACAGGTAAGCAGAAAAGAGAGAGGTGCCAGTGTCATGACAATCATAGTAGCCAAACAGACAGAACTGAACTCGTTCAAAAACAAGTTCATTTGAGACGAATCTACAAGGTGGCGATTCTGAGTCCATTGCAGGTGATGAGCAAACCAAGTCTCAGCTGGGCACATCCAGCTAGCAGAGGCGATTGTACTCCTATGCAGGTTGCTAGCTAGCTGGCTGTTATGGCACATGCAAGTAAGTCATTAATGGCAGTGGCTGGTCTGCTTTCTCTCCCCCATTGGCCGCTGCGCATTCTAGTGGACGACACCGTGGGGCTGAGCAGCAGGGCAGCGGCAGCGGCAGCGGCAGCGGCAGCAGGCACGGGCGATGGAAGCATTGGCAGAGCTGGTGGCCCGGCAGCAGCACGGTCGTCACTGCAGCAGCTTAGGGCGCCGCCGCCCAGAGGGGTGGTGGGGGTGGCGCCTGCGGGTAGGCGTGAGGGCGGCAAGGCAGGGGCAGAGCGAGGCCATGGTGCGGTGGCACAGGCGCAGGCAGGCGCAGGGGGGGGCGAGCAGCAGCGCACGCAGGGGGCGGTGGCAGAGGAGGAGGGCGAGCAGGGCGAGGAAGAGCAGCAATGGCGGCAGAGAGGCCGAGGCGAGCAGCGAGTGCATGTGCTCTGACATGCCATGCCCGCACGGTGGGGGGGGTAGTGGCATGGTGGCGGTGCCGAGTCGGGCAGCAGGACAGCGAGTGGGCGGCAGCAGGATGGGCAAGCGGGCGGCAGGTCGGGCGGCAGATGGAGGCGATGCAGTGAGGCAGGCACGTTGCGTAGCCAACGGCGAGGAAGAGATACGCACACAAGGACACACGGACAGGGGGTTGGGTTGGGGTGCAGGATGGGGAGGAGAAAGAGGTGGGGCAGGAGTGGACAAGAGGTGGGGCAGGAGTGGACAAGAGGTGGGGCAGGAGTGGACAAGAGGGCAGGCAGGTAGAATGAGGTCAAGCACGGTGAGGTGGTCGGGGCACGGTGAGGTGGTCGGGGCACGGTGAGGTGGTCGGGGCACGCATGCGTGTGATGGGTGACCTGTGAGAGAGCAACGACCATTCACCTTTGAGCGCCTTCTCACCTTTGAGCGCCTTCTCACCTTTGAGCGCCTTCTCACCTTTGAGCGCCTTCTCACCTTTGAGCGCCTTCTCACCTTTGAGCGCCTTCTCACCTTTGAGCGCCTTCTCACCTTTGAGCGCCTTCTCACTAGGGATGAGCATAGGGACCCGGCGGGTCGGGTCGACCCGACCCGACCCGGGTTTTGACCCGGGTCGGGTCAGGAGTTCTGAACCACTGACCCGGCCGGGTCGGGTCGGGTATACCCGGCCGGGTCGGGTCGACCCGTGACCCGATTCCGGGTCGGGTCGGGTCGGGTCGGGTTTTGACCCGATTATGGACTCGACCCGGTTTCGGGTACCGCGCCCTATCTCGGGTTGGGTATCTGGCCCGACCCGAGGGTTTCCTCTCGACAATGTTATCCAGATCGCAATCGCGCTTGCTTGTTTTCCCAGCAACTAGCATTTCGATCTGGATTAAGTTAGGTTAACTAGCTAGTGACGCCAGCAGCCACCCACCAAGCAACATTGGCGTACTAATCTACCCTAGAACCCACGATAATGTTTAGTTAGTACTCAGCCAATCGCACTTCGCACTTCGCGCCATCCATCCTAGGGTTTCTTTTAAATCCAAAATTTACAGGTCGCGCTCCCACCCTAGGCGCGCGCATTGCAGGCCCGCGTTTTAGGGCATCTCGGCGCGCCGTGCAGGCGCAGGTCGCTAGACCCGCGCCCCTACACATTATTAAGGAGAACCTCTAACCCTGCCTATGGGAGTCGGCCCGACCCGACCCGACCCGGCCCCGACCCGACCCGACCCGGGGGCGGGTCAAGCCTGACCCGGCACCCGATACCCGGGTCGGGCCAGAGATCTCAAAAGTTCCGACCCGACCCGACCCGACCCGGAACCCGGCTGGCCCGCCAAAGTCGGGTCGGGTCGGGTCGGGTCGGGTCATTTGATCATACCTAGAACTTCTCACCTTTGAGCGCCTTCTCACCTTTGAGCGCCTTCTCACCTTTGAGCGCCTTCTCCTGCTCCACCAGGTGTGCGCGCCGCTCCTCCAGGTGCGTGACCTCGCGCTCCCACTTGTCCCTCAGCGCCACGTGCCCCACCACCGCCTTGCCTCGCAGCTTCACGCCCTCCCTCACCGCCGCCACGTCAGCTGCCAGCTGGCTGCGCGTCTCGGCGCCCATCTGGACACACGTGTTGTTGCAGCCCGCCCCGCTGGCGTACTCGTCCGACCCGTCACAGCAGTCTGATGGGCGCGGGGGAGGGAGGGGGGGCGGAGGGCGAGAGAGAGGGATGGGGGGGCGAGGCCACAGCATTGGTGGAGCGTGAGGTGAGGCATCTGGGAGAGGAGAGGCATGCTCACGCAGCCTCATGCTCTTGACGCATGCCCCAACACACATCCCATCCCAGCACATGCCCCTCGAGACTGCAGTTAACCCACAGGGCATCCAGCCAAGCCACAAAGGGCATCACTTCACAGCGGATGGATGAATGGAGACATGACAGTGCACTGACCGCAGATGCACAAGAGCATGACAGTGCACTGACCGCAGATGCACAAGAGCATGACAGTGCACTGACCGCAGATGCACAAGAGCATGACAGTGCACTGACCGCAGATGCACAAGAGCATGACAGTGCACTGACCGCAGATGCACAAGAGCATGACAGTGCACTGACCGCAGATGCACAAGAGCATGACAGTGCACTGACCGCAGATGCACAAGAGCATGACAGTGCACTGACCGCAGATGCACAAGAGCATGACAGTGCACTGACCGCAGATGCACAAGAGCATGACAGTGCACTGACCGCAGATGCACAAGAGCATGACAGTGCACTGACCGCAGATGCACAAGAGCATGACAGTGCACTGACCGCAGATGCACAAGAGCATGACAGTGCACTGACCGCAGATGCACAAGAGCATGACAGTGCACTGACCGCAGATGCACAAGAGCATGACAGTGCACTGACCGCAGATGCACAAGAGCATGACAGTGCACTGACCGCAGATGCACAAGAGCATGACAGTGCACTGACCGCAGATGCACAAGAGCATGACAGTGCACTGACCGCAGATGCACAAGAGCATGACAGTGCACTGACCGCAGATGCACAAGAGCATGACAGTGCACTGACCGCAGATGCACAAGAGCATGACAGTGCACTGACCGCAGATGCACAAGAGCATGACAGTGCACTGACCGCAGATGCACAAGAGCATGACAGTGCACTGACCGCAGATGCACAAGAGCATGACAGTGCACTGACCGCAGATGCACAAGAGCATGACAGTGCACTGACCGCAGATGCACAAGAGCATGACAGTGCACTGACCGCAGATGCACAAGAGCATGACAGTGCACTGACCGCAGATGCACAAGAGCATGACAGTGCACTGACCGCAGATGCACAAGAGCATGACAGTGCACTGACCGCAGATGCACAAGAGCATGACAGTGCACTGACCGCAGATGCACAAGAGCATGACAGTGCACTGACCGCAGATGCACAAGAGCATGACAGTGCACTGACCGCAGATGCACAAGAGCATGACAGTGCACTGACCGCAGATGCACAAGAGCATGACAGTGCACTGACCGCAGATGCACAAGAGCATGACAGTGCACTGACCGCAGATGCACAAGAGCATGACAGTGCACTGACCGCAGATGCACAAGAGCATGACAGTGCACTGACCGCAGATGCACAAGAGCATGACAGTGCACTGACCGCAGATGCACAAGAGCATGACAGTGCACTGACCGCAGATGCACAAGAGCATGACAGTGCACTGACCGCAGATGCCGTCGTTGACTCGCGAGGAGAAGAGCGTGAGTGGCATGTGGCCGCGGTTGGCGCAGTAGAAGCGCGCCAGCGCGCATGCTGACGTGCCTGCAGGGGGACCAAGGGTGCGGTGGAGAGAGGGCAGCGTGGAGAGGGGTGGACGGGGTTGAAGCGGGCGGGGTAGGGAGGAGTGAAGGGAGGAGGCCAGAATGGAAACACACGCGGAGCCATGGTAACCTGGTAACCTGGTAACCAGGTCCCTCCTCACGAGCCCCAGTGGTGAGGTGGGGTGGCACCCACCCGGCTCGTCGGTGCCATCAGCGCAGTCACAGAAGTCGTCGTTCACCCGCTGCACCGCCACTGACCGCGACCCGTCGCGGCACCGCACCTCGCTGCCCGAGAAGTACGCCACGTCTGCCGCGCGTGACGCGCGTGAGGCGTGGCGCATGCGAGGCGGGGCGCGGCAAGGCGGATGGGCGCAGGGCAGGCGGACATGGAGAGGGAGGGAAAGGGCAGAAGCGGGGGGGGGGTGGGGAGTGGGGAGAGATGAGCGGGTGGAAAGGGTGGGGGTAAGGGAGGCGAGCGACCGGCGGGAACAGCGCCGGGCGGCTGACGAAGCCGCGATTCGCCTCTCCACTCCATGCGATCCCCACTCCGTGCGATCCCCACTCCGTGCGATCCCCACTCATTCCGCCGCTTCGCTGTCGCTGCGGGCTAAACGGCTAAGTGGCTACACGGGTCTCGGCGCGCAGTGGGCGAGCGGACAGATGCGCGCGACGCAAGCTGCAGCGACATTCACGTTCAATTACGCCCGCGCTCGCGCGCCCGCTCGCTCGCGCGCGCTCGTGCGGGCGGGACGGCAGCGTGCGCTGGACTTGTGAGTCATCTTGGACCATGACCGCAGCGCCATGGACTTGCCTTGAGGGGCGACGCCGCGAATTGACGGAGGAGCGGCCGCGAGCGAGCCGATTGCGAACAACACCAATGCGACGACTGCGATCGCGAGTGCTTGCGGGAAGCAGGCGAGCGACCTTGGCGATGCGCGAAGCAGTGCCATCGGGAACAATGTGAACAGCACCGCCGCGAATTGTGGCGGTCAGTATAAGTCTTGAAATTGAGATAGAGGTGACAATCTGGTCGTGCTGACCAGTCTGGCTGGCCTGCGCAGCTCTCAGAGCGCTGGGATCATGGATAAAAGCTCGCAGAGCAGAGCAGAAGCTGTTTGCGGGGAACAGACCAGATGGCGGTGGATGTGGTGGAAGCGGAATCGTCACCCAAACTACACCATACTCAGTATCGCGTACAGAAATATTCATCTGCACCTTTTGTTATGAGTTGTGAAAGAAGAGTATGTACAGAATGCAATAACACGGAAGTGAGTACAACTAGCACAGATATAGCGAAAGGCTAGCTAGGTGGGGTCCGCGAAATAGCGACGGTTGGGTGCTCGTTCCGGGCTGTCAAACCCAAAGGCGACGTGAGGGACGTTGGCGAGGTGGTCGGACCGAGCCTTGTCTTTTGAAAGTTATGATGTACGCGACCCAAGTGTTGGGCTGAGATAGCCCCTTAGGATCTTTGCAAGGGATAACTCTAGGTGAAGTAGTTGTAATAGCGGAAGCGTTTAGTGAAGAATTTGAACCGACCTTGCACTGGTGTGTGAGAGCAAAGTTGATTGAATTAAACAAGCAAATACAAGGATTTATATAAGAGTACAGGGAATAGATAGATAACTGTATTGCTGTTGCGGTTCGATATAGCGCGACTCGGGCAACTGCTCTGTAACGAGTCAGTTGTGTGTCCTTAACTGTCGCGCTGTAATTGTCGAGTCAAAGGTCAGCGACCTTTGACTTTCTCGTAACCTCCAGGCGGTTACCCTAACCTCCGAGGTTGACTCGATGCTTCGATTGGGACTGCTTCGCTTGGTACCTTGGATTTTGATACGACAGAAGCGCACTTAGGACTTATTGTTTCCAACACTCCCCTTCGCTTCTGGAGTGTTACTGCTGGTGACGTGGCCTTGTCCAGTCAGCATCATGCAGTATTCGAACTTCTGCTTGCCGAGTTTCTTGGTCAAGTAATCGGCTGCCATCTCGGATGTTGGACAGTATGACAGATCGAGTTTCCCTTTTTCTATCTCGTCCTTCACGAAGAAATAGCGCAGGGCGATGTGTTTCGTCCTGTTTGCGAAGCCGTTTTTGTTGGCGATGCGAATTGCTGACTGGTTGTCGCAGAACACGGTGAAGCTGGGTAACTCGGCTAGCTTCGCTTCTTCCAGTAGTTCGCGAAGGTAAAGTCCCTCCTTGGTGGCTGAGCAGAGTGCAATATATTCTGCTTCTGCTGAAGATAGTGCGATTAACTCCTGCTTGCTCGACTGCCAGGAGATAGGACCGATAGGCTCAAGGCGGTAGACATAGCCGGTGCGTGAGCGCCTGTTGTCGGTGTCGCCGGCGTGATCGGCGTCGACGTAGCCGATTAGCTTAGTCGGTGTAGCTGCGCTCTTGTGGTAGGTTAGCCCGATCGTCGCGGTGCTGACGAAGTAGTGGAGAGCGCGATCAAGTTCCGCCAGGTGTTCAGCTTCAGGCTTCTTGAGATAGGTGGCGAGCTGACTTGCGGAGTAGGATAAGTCAGGACGGCAGGTGACGGCGGCGAATAGCAGGCATCCGAGCTTCTTCTGATAGTCGCGTATGCCGGCGGGCTTGAGTAGAGTAGTTCGTTCCTTCTCGGTTCCTGATGTGTAGCGGTAGGGCGTGGAGATGGCGCTTGGTGTGAGGCTGAAGCGTTTCGCGATGGTGTCGGCGTATTTCTCGGCGCTTAGATAGATGGCGTTTTCTTCTTCGCGAATGTTGAGCCCGAGGTACTGTGTAACGGTGGAGGAGACCGTGAGCGTGAGGTCTTTCTGGAGCTCTCCTTCGAACCACGTGGCGATGCCGTCGGTTGACCCAATGTAGAGGAGATCGTCCACGTAGACGATCAGGAGAACGTAGTCGCTTCCCTTAGTGAGGCGGTACATGCCTTGGTCGTGAGGTAGTTGACTAAAGCCGATGCGGATGAGACGGGCGTGCAGGTACTGCTGCCACAGTCGCGGTGCCTGCTTGATCCCGTAGAGCGACTTAAGTAGTTGACAGATTCGGTTGGGTTCGCCGTGGGAACCGTGCGGGAGCTCGACGTAGATTTCTGCATCCACAGGTGCGTAGAGGAAGGCATTCGCGACGTCGATCTGCCGTAACTTCTTCTTCTTCATGGCGGCAATGGCGAGGAGAATTCGGAGTGACGTGTGGCGGCTGACTGGAGCAAAGGTCTCGGTGAAGTCTCGTCCTTGCTCTTGGTCGAATCCACGTACGACCCAGCGTGCTTTGAATTTTTCGATCGTGCCGTCTGCTTTCGTCTTGATGCGGAAGACCCATTTCCCGGTAAGGATGGTTTTGTTCCGTGCCACGCTTACGGGAACAACCTTCCAAGTGTTGCGTTCCTCTAATGCCTTCAGTTCTCTATCCATGGCTTCACGCCATTTCTCCCTGTGTTCCCCCCCCAGAGCCTGCTGAACCGTTGCAGGCTCCTTAGGAAGCGAGCTGCGTGTGTTCCCGTGGACTGCGGTGACGAGGCCGAGGATTTGCAGCCCAGTCTGTGAGTATCGAGGGAGTTCTGGATCCTCGGGATAAGCTGCTTCGTCTCCCGTTTCTGGGTCGGGCATGAAATTTGGCCCTACCCTTTCTGCTTCGTTGGTGTTGACTGTCACAGGTGTTACGTAACCATCGTCGGCGAAACGGTAGAAGATTTCGGCGTTGTTACTGTCGCGAGGATTATCCTCATCCATGGGCACGTCGACGGAGCAGTATGGGAGAGGTCCGGCTTCTTCTGAGGCGTTGTCGACGTTCTGTTCATCCCAGTCTGCTTCGTCCGCTGCTGACGCGAAGGCTCGGTCACCACGAAAACCACTGGTGAGGTCCCGATTCTCGTGCAAGTTGGCGAGGTACGTCTGAAGGGTGAGTCTTTCGTAGAAGATCACGTCACGTGCTGCTACTGTTTCCTTTGTGTGGACGTCGAAGATTTTCCATGCGTTGTAATTTTTCTCGATGCCGAGGTGTAGTCCCCACTGTGCCCGTTGCGAAAATCTTCCCGCTCGTGCTTCTGGGGGTCTGTACTGTACCATGCACCCGAAAACTCGTAACATTTTCGTGCTGCCCTGCTTCCCTGTCCACAGCAGATGCGGTGATGCGTTGTTCGGGAGTGACGACGACGACAACAAGTTGTGTAGCATGACAGCGTGGTCCATTGCTGCTGGCCACTGGTGGTTGGGTAGCCGCATGCCACGTAATAGTTTGCGCATGCTGTTCTGCAGGGTCCTGTTCAGTCGTTCTGCAACACCTTGCTGCTGATGTGCGTAAGGAAGGGAGAGGAGTTGCTTGATCCCCCTTTCCGCCAAGAACTGCTTGAAGCGGTGAGAGGTGTACTCGCCACCTCCGTCTGACTGGAATTTTTTCAGTTGTGTTCCAGACTCTCTCTCTGCTATCGGTAGCCAGGCGGCGAATGCTGCGAGCGCCATGTCGCGGCTGGGTAGGTTGCGATGCCAGACGTATCGAGTGGCGGCGTCGATGAAGGTGATGGTGTAGTTGTAGTTGACTTGTCCTGGCTCGCGATTGTAGAGGATGTCGCTGTAGACTTTTTCGAGTGGTGCGTACGCTGGAGCGCTCGGGTTGTGATGTGAAGCAAACGGTCGATGAGGTAAGTCAGCTTCGGGACATATAAGGCAAGTCCCTCGTGCCTTCTGGAGTTCTCTGCCATCGGGTAGAAGTAGAGAATCTTTGTCAAGGACTCCTGCTCTTATCGTGTTATTCAAAACCGTGTTGCTTGGATGTCCTGTTCGTGCGTGCCAGATCTCTTCAGAGGCACGGTGTCCAGGTGAACGCTGATATGCGTCGGAGTTGGAGTAAAAGCTGGCGACGAGGTTGGCGCTTCGGTGGACTTCACGTTGAGTCGGATTCAGCTGTTTCGCGGGTGTTGGTGGTGCTTCGTCGACTGTGACTGGTGTCGTTGTTCCTGCTGCTGCTGATGTTGTTGCTGCTGCCGATGTTGTTACTGCTGCTGATGTTGTTGCTGCTGCCGATGTTGTTACTGCTGCTGATGTTGTTGCTGCTGCCGATGTTGTTACTGCTGCCGATTGTCGAATTGTTGCTAATGCTCGTGTTCGTTCTGCTTCAGGAATGGTGTGCGAGTACCAGAAGCCTCCTGGGCTGAAGTCGGGGTCGAGATCCGGAGGGTGTGTCCAGTCAGTGAAATTCACGATGGCGTCGCTGTCTGCAGTGCCCAGGTCAGGAACGAAGTCGAGGACGAAGACGTTGTTCTTCAGCACTGCTTTCCCGATGTAGAGACCGCCTCTCCCGTGGTAAAGTTTGAACTCCTGGGTCGTGCTGTCGGCTTCCAGATGAATTCCTTTCGCCATCAACTGGC